CTTAGCCGAACTAAGCTATCATTTCATGCGTTCTACGTCCAGTTTTCAGCAATCTTCGTCTTAAAATAGGCATTATTGAGTGCGAGAGAATTATCTAGCTTGATCCAATATAAAGGAGCTATCCTGAAAAGCAATTCTAATGGAAGTGACCTCGATTACAACTCTTTTTAACAAATATCAAACCTACCCATACAAAGAGAATATTAAATCTCTAATTAACGAAATAAATGTGCTAACATTTGGCAGTAATTCTTTGCAAAAGTTCATTACCGTTGTATTATGTATTCGAACCTCGTCCTCCTGAGATGCAGCCTCCCAGCGGATATACCTCTGTAGACTTGGAATGATCAGTAGATATTGTTGTCGATTCGCTTGTTGTGTTGAAGCTCATAAAGACGATTTACATTCAGCGTCGCGGGTGTCGAGAGAGACATCAGTATGGACACGAGGACAACGCCGGACAATGGCCAGTCGCACGTGGAGCTGCCTTGTGCCAAACATTGGGAGACGATAAGCGACAGCATGGCAAGTGACCCATGTGTAAGGTGTGAATACACAAGCATACACAACATGGCCTCTTGCCGGTGTGCATTATTGTATACCAAACCTAAACTTCCTAAACTATACGAAACCGTCTTTTGGAAAACATAGCCTACTCGTACACAAACTATCACACGTGTAGTACTTTCAATTCCTCCCCCACTGTTACAAAAGTGCGTTTACTTGATCCTCAATTGAAGTTGTCATATACCTTCTAATCTGCTGGTTATTAGGGTCCTATATCACCAGCAGATATCTGCCTGGGTTATCTACAAACACGATGTAAGGTCCTCTATCTAGACACACTAGAGCTACAGAGTATGTTCCATGGTGATCATCTCACATTATCACATGCATCTTCCTCCCTAGATGAAGGTGTTACACATACACTAGCAGATACCTCCCTGGGTTACAAACACGATGTCAGGTCCTATATCTAGACACACTAGAGCTACAGAGTATGTTCCATGGTGATCATCTCACATTATCACATGTATCTTCCTCCCAAGGAGAAGGTGTTACCCATGCCACTAGCAGAAACCTCCCTGGGTTATCTACAAACACGATGTAAGGTCCTCTATCTAGACAGACAGCTACAGAGTATGTGCCATGGTGATCATCTCATATTCTCGTATATATCTTCCTCCCAAGGAGAAGGTGTTACACATACCACTAGCAGATACCTCCCTGGGTTATCTACAAACACGATGTAAGGTCCTCTATCTAGACAGACAGCTACAGAGTATGTGCCATGGTGATCATCTCATATTCTCGTATATATCTTCCTCCCAAGGAGAAGGTGTTACACATACCACTAGCGGATACCTCCCTGGGTTATCTACAAACACGATGTAAGGTCCTCTATCTAGACAGACAGCTACAGAGTATGTGCCATGGTGATCATCTCATCTTATCACATGTATCTTCCTCCCCAGATGAAGGTGTTATACATACCACTAGCAGATACCTCCCTGGGTTATCTACAAACACGATGTAAGGTCCTCTATCTAGACAGACTACAGCTACAGAGTATGTTCCATGGTGATCATCTCATATTCTCGTATATATCTTCCTCCCAAGGAGAAGGTGTTACACATACCACTAGCGGATACCTCCCTGGGTTATCTACAAACACGATGTAAGGTCCTCTATCTAGACAGACAGCTACAGAGTATGTTCCATGGTGATCATCTCATCTTATCACATGTATCTTCCTCCCTAGATGAAGGTGTTACACGTACCACTAGCGGATACCTCCCTGGGTTATCTACAAACACGATGTAAGGTCCTCTATCTAGACAGACTACAGCTACAGAGTATGTTCCATGGTGATCATCTCACCTTATCACATGTATCTTCCTCCCCAGATGAAGGTGTTACACATACAACTACCAGATACCTCCCTGGGTTATCTACAAACACGATGTAAAGTCCTCTATCTAGACAGACTACAGCTACAGGGCGGACCGTGCGTCTATCTCTTTTTTATTAATGACTAGCTACCGCTACTCCCCGCACATTCTTGTAAACTCCCCTCGTCTACTCGTTTTATCTCTTTCATTTTTTAACCATGTAGGAAGTGAGGTGTGACATGACTCGCTCAGTGTCGCGTGCTTGTTCAGGATATCCTCCAACTTAATATAGAATTTTAGAAAACTTCTTCGTTGTCAATGTTTTTTTCTCTTATTATTTCAGTTGTTAGCATTATTTCAATAACCCTTGACAATTTAAATTGTGTATATGTGTTAAAAATTTTCTATAACATTTAGAAATTACGTTATGATATACTAAAATCTGGCAAGTCTCGTATTATTTCCCACTTGAATCAGGCCTATCCTATTAGTTTTGACGTGTTACTCTAAGAATGTTGTTTGTTAGTACAGTACATGTCATATTTGTTAAATCTTAAGACGTAATTGTATCAAACGGTAATCTTATATTTGGCCTACAGAGCTATGTAACTAATTGATGGCTTAAGCCCTTGTTTAAAATGTGATTGTATACACAACTTTAGATAATAATTTAACTTGTTCTTACGTGTATCGTCATCGTCCCAACCTAGATCTAGTCGTGGTCTATTTTTACGTTAACAACGCGAGTGTGGTGCTTAGCTAGAGAGTCGACATCAAGATTAGCTGTTGACAAAACACAAACATGGGAGTAGATCGCAGTGAAACGGTCATCGGCCAAACAAATATTGGATATTTACCGTAGACACACGCTCGGCCGGGCCCGGCTCGTGCGGTACTCACAAAACAACATAGCTGTAACAACTACGTACTATTTTTATTTTGTATTCGCTGCTATGTGCTATGCCCGTACTTCGTAACGGGGAAGTGTGTGAAAGAAAATAATGATATTCTTTAGATATGATGTATGAAATAGTTAAACATTAAATAATTTACATTGAAACTTATGAGAAACAACTTGTGAGAAACAAAACACTCTTATTTTACCAGTATACTGTAGGCCAGTAAAATTATGTTTTTTAAATTCAGATAAGAAGTTCAAATTCTCTAGAAGATCAAACACAATACACAAGTGGCTCTGATTTTTTTAATTTCAGTCATGCCTTTTTACCTGTTAAGCTTTAGCTTTTAACACAAATGAAAAAAGAAATATGAGCAAAATTCCAAAATAAATTCATTACATTTCTTAAACCAACCATAACTTTCTTCCTGAATAACGAACACATTTACACGATTTAAATAAAGAACCAACAAAACGCCTTTCAAGTAAATAAACAAACCGCTGTTAATTGCATCGGTTATTTTTCATTTAGGTTAATTGAAAACTTTGAAAGCATGTAAAACGTAGTCCTTTGAAAATCAACTTGTGGGTAAGAACCATTAGAGAATTTGTTTATATCCAAAATTTTGGCAAATCTGTCCCAAATGTGTATGCTATTTTGTCAATTTAAGTTTCATGATGCAGTAAACTTTTGTTTGGATACTAAGCCATGTCAAAATAGTGTAAAATGAAGGGTTTTAAATTATCAGATCTAACGCATTTCTACATTTATTCAGTGATATAAGCTACATTAAAACAAATAAGGCAAAGCATGTCCAAGAAAACAATGTATTAAAATAGCATTCCTGCGATCGCCTCGTCCAAACTACTACGTCACTAGAGTGCATTAATGAATAGTTGAGGTTCCGAGAAGCACGCGACACAAAAACTTGCCAGTGTGCGTCATATGGTGACGAGTACAGCTGTGACTGTGAGCTGGTCTCATGTAGGGCTACCGTTCATTCAAGGATTAATAGTTTAGAGGCCGTGCATATCTGAAATAATCGAATTATTAAATCACCAAGGATATCTGTGTTTTAATGAACGATCAGCTGGACTGCATTGTTGAATGACGTTGAGAGAGGTCGTGCAAGGTGTGGTGGGGGGGGGGGAGGGGGGGATGCTGTGACAAATGAAGATGTCCAGAGACAGTTCAACAATGGGAGTGAACAATGGTAGACAAATAGCCGAGATGCGCCGCGGCACGCCACCAGACCTACACAGATAGACGACGAGAAGATAGCAACGCACACGGCCTGCAATATCACAATTGCGGATAAACGAATCTCTACCATTATTTGCAACTACCAGTGTACCAGCGCCAACTGCCTAGCACATGTACATTGTACAATCACGGAAACAAAGGCATAATTTCCTCAACTTTTATTGTGTTGTAAGTAGAGGAGTTTATTTATTTTATTTATTTATTATCAATCATAACACCTTTACGATATGTACAACCATAGACTAACCTGTTTTTTCTATGGTACAACTTTGGGAATTGTCAATTCAGAAAACTATTCTGAAAATCACAATAAACCATAATTTTAACACTTAAAATTACAACGGCATAGCGAAATATAAGTATTCTTACGATAATTTCCAATTATCTCCACAGTACCCTTCATGTGTTTGGTGTCGTACATTTCGACTTGTTGCAACAGTCAAAAACTTAACAGTGCTGTAGAAACTGTATGCAAAAAGGAACTGAAGAGATGATTTTTCGAAAGATTATCCTATTTTGACTACTTTTTATTTAATTTGGAAGATTATTGAATAATGCGATGCAACTACTAATGGGGGTTAAAAAAGATGTTTTATGATTTGGATATTGAAGAGGAGGAGCGTTTCTTGTAAAATAAGTATGCTGGTTTCTACAAAATGAGTGAGTTGGAAAAAAACCTAACACAATGAAGTGCAAAATATACAAGGAAGGAAGGTAGCGAATCATCAACTTTTAAAAAGTTTAAAACATTAAAACGCCGTAAACAATACACAATAATTTCAGACTATTTAAAAAAAATTATAAAGATATTATGCTCTTGGATTACTTACTTGATACTACTGTACAATCTTTTCAACACACCAAGATCGCCAACATCTTATAGTTTTACCAATGCCACCAACAACCGATAGTTAATTATCAAATAAACTTCATTTTAAACACTCACTTTTGTCACAGAAGGTGTGTGTGACTGGATTCACTGTGGACCACTCATGGAAACTCTTCTACATGTCTCTAATCTGCAAAACAAAAAAACCTTAGCTGTAACATAAATATACCTCCAAACACATGCTCTTAAAAGTCAAAAAGCTAAGACGTCTTGACGCGTATGAGCGGATATGACGACGAGGCTTAGGAAGTGATTATCTGTGACAAGAAGCAACGCAGAGACGCGAGCCCTTAGCTTCCGGCGGATAATTGTAACGTAATATGGCTCAGACAAATCCATCTCTCTGGTTGCTGGGATACAAATACAATACATAGACATAGAATGTCACGAATTGTGGATAATTGTAACGTAATATGGCTCAGACAAATCCATCTCTCTGGTTGCTGGGATACAAATACAATACATAGACATAGAAGGTCACGAATTGTGGATAATTGTAACGTAATATGACTCAGACAAATCCATCTCTCTGGTTGCTGGGATACAAATACAATACATAGATATAGCAGGGTCACGAATTGTGGATAATTCTAACGTAATATGGCTCAGACAAATCCATCTCTCTGGTTGCTGGGATACAAATACAATACATAGATATAGCAGGGTCACGAATTGTGGATAATTCTAACGTAATATGGCTCAGACAAACCCATCTCTCTGGTTGCTGGGATACAAATACAATACATAGATATTGTAGGAAGGTCACGAATTGTGGATATTTATAGACATGCACTGTGGGTGCGATACTCCTTGTGGATAACCATCCGCAATAGTGAGTACTTCGACTGTGCAGTGCTATCTTGATAATTCGACCAATTCGTTAACTACAAGGCAAAAATTTGGTTCGAATTCCACTATAGGTGGGTTCCTTAGTTGCCATTGGCTGTATGGGCTAGTAATTTACAGTTGTGTCTAAGGATCATGTCGGCCTTAGTTACTAACAAGACTACAAGATCGCGCCACTCGTCCTTCACTCATCCTTCACTCATATTTGGGTAAAAGTACGCACCTATGGCGTCCCCATCTGGAATAATTGATTTATTGATAGTCTCAATACTGTGTTAGTTCTGGTGCGGGTGTGTGTTGCGGTAGGTTAGTCAATCACATATAACACACAATGTCGGACAACCAAACGAGTCGAATAAACGTCAAATGAAAATATGATGAGGCCAATAATCGGATCAAGTACCATGACGAGCTTCGCCGGATCAGAACCTAGTCAGTCATCAGTATCATCGGCCCACTGGTTTATTAGAGAACACATAAGACAAAATGATGTTCACTAATAAATAGTTTATATTTGAAATTGGACGGTTATTTCTCTAGTTTTCATTTTGTGTGTTATTTGAGGTTCAACAGTGAGCGATTGTCAACTTTTATTCCTGCAACGCCGAGAGCTCTTCATCGGGGCTTACAACAAAAAAGGTTAGTTTAGAAATGTTAAATATTTTCGTTGGTGACTGATTTTGAACACAATACTTTAACAGTTTGATGTGGTGGTCAACAATGCATAAATCCTTGGAAGGTCCTTGGAAGCTAGGTCAAATGTTTTGTTCCGAATAGTTTTTGAGTTTCATCATTACGTCTTTCGTGCTTTACGAATCAATTTAAATAAAAGTAAACTAAACTTCATTATAAATTAGATTTACGATATTCTGATTTTTTTTAAAATTTGACGCTCAGTAATTTGAAATCGGATTGTGAGTAAAACTAAATCTTGATTGCAATACTACTGAAGTAGTATAAGTATTGTAGTAAAAATGGTATCTTACTAATGAAGTGGCACGTAACACTACGTAACACTAATTTGTATCCAATAGAATATAGAACATAGCTTAACCAAGATACTTAACCTCTAAACAAGTATTGTAGAATTTGACTATAACCTCAAATTATAATGAATACTGTAATTATGTAAATTTGTAATTATGATTCAAACGTAAGTACTGTAGTATAACTTGTTAAAGAACCTCATTTTAACATTTTGATTATCATTCATAGAGTAACAAGCAACTGAATATGTAACAAACGAAATATTATAACGTGTAAATCAATAAACATAAATTTTATATGTATGAGTGATTAACAGTATTCAATAGAGATCACATTATAGCAAATAAATAAGTGTGAAAAACATTATGTAGTAGTTTGTAACCATTGTTACTACTGTGCCAGTCAATTACAGTCACCTGTAGTGCAGTAGAGACACTCCCTGTCGCGGGCAGACTGTAATGATGTAGCATTTTAAAATATCCCATTATAACACATCGGGAACCATTGTAACACATACACCTACTATAATTGTAACTCGTAGCATGTTATAACATAGGGTTTTATTGTCCATTGTAACCTTAAAAAATTGATACAAAATTAGTAAAGAAAAATAAATTGATACCACTTCCAAATACAAATGCGCCTTGGATTTTGTTTTGAACAGACCATTGTCATTTTTTACAATACAACTAACCAAGAAAATATAAAGTTGTACTTTACATTGTATTTATTAAATCACTACGAACATATCGCAATAATCACATGTTAGATAATTATTTAACATTTAAATACAGTATTTGTTTTAGCACTAATATCAGGAAAATATACAATTTCTCAAAAAAATTGTTTACAGTAGGTATATATTAAATGCTATCTAATGATTAAATTTGTTACTGTGTTCATGAACTACTATTTCTGACTTTTTGCCTTTGATATTTTACAAATTTTTATTACTTTTAACATTTCCCCCTGTTTTATTGATTAGTCATTAACAAGATCTTAAGAATAAAGCATTTACGTAATACTTATAAATGAATTAGTTTACAAATATATGAAATATACTTTGGTTTCACAGTTTATAGTTTATGTAGTTCTTCTGATTAGTAAGTCGTTGCATTTAAACATGTTTAAAATCCAACTAGTGATGTGGGCCGGTAAATACCCAGTGGGTAGGTAAATATAAATTGGGTTTTTACCCGGGTATTCACCCCAGGCTCGGGTAAATACCCAAAAACTGGATATTTATAATATTTATTAAAGTTAGAGAAGATTGAGATGTTTTTTTGCAATTATTACCCTGGAAGAATAGTAAAATGATGATAAAATGTGTTAAACAAAATTTCATATGGTCACTTCTAGCATTTTACTTCTGGTTATAATCGCCATAAATACCCAGGTCTCAGCATAAAGCATAATCGGCATAAATACCCTGGTCGCATGGTTGCACTGGTCCTAACTACTTATGATTTTTCTACTTATGAATTTCTATGATAGATAGATGAATTTATTTTATTGAAAGTGAAGAAAAATAATTTGTAAAGTAATAATTATTATTTAGAAAGACAGGAAAATTTAACCTAGTAGTGGCCTACGGGTAAACAACTTAAGAAAATAAGGGTACACTTCCATATCTGTTGGCACAAACAACCGAATGAGTAATATTGATTATTCGACTATTAAATTCGATATATCGATCAATATTTTCATTCCGTTGTTTGTGCCAACAGATATAAAAGTGTACCCGAAATAATTAAAATTAAATCTGTAGGATGGCAGGATTTAATAATATTTTTGTTCTAGATATTTTGTTGGTATCAATGGTATCAACATTAAAAAAAAAATAATTTCATAAACTTGTGATACAAAACATTTGAATCTATAGCACAATAAATCTTTTGAAATGATATTGAGTTCGACGAAAAAAGAAGAGATACATTCTTTTTGTAGGTTTGTCCAAATATATTATTGTTTCCAACTAAGCGGTAACACAGAAAAGTTTAATTACTTTTAGTATTCTGCCATTCTGCCTATGTCAATCAAGCCTTAGGTCTGTCTAGCCTTCCAAGCCATTTAATACAATAAAAATTTTTACTATCATAATTTAATAACATTTGGATATTTATAAATTAAAATAATTTTGTTTAATACTATTTAATTGAAAAAAAATTCATGAAAAAATTGAATTTATTGAAAAAATTATGAAATGATAAAAATTGAAATAGCCACAACCTTTTTTAATATACTATTTTTAGTAAGTTAAATTTAACTGATGTTACTCGATTTAAGACACAAAACCCCATGCCTTTTGGAAACTTTATGTATTTTTTTTTTAAGTGCTTCAGTAAATCATTAAATAAAAGGTACTAGCAAAGCTTCAAGTTGGCTGTAAAAGGTGTTATAGACTATCCTAATTTATCATGTAATATGATAACAATAACATATTTAGGGGTAAATATAAATGAATTTCAATCGATTTAATAAATACCCAAAATACCCGGGTATTTATGGATTTTGGGTATTTACCCGGGTAATTACCCAGGGTATTTACCCCGAGTTTTAAATACCCGGGTATTTTACATCACTAAATCCAACCGAACCATTTTTGTCGTCCCATAGCTGACAAATAGTACAATCGAGCTAAATAGTTGAGTGGAATGGACTTGCAACATTTTTACTACAGTAAAATTATTCGATCTCCGAACTTGAGTCATGTTTTAAGTACCGGTGTTCAGTAATACGAGTAGTGTAACACAAAACCCATCTGAGTGACTCAATGTGTGGTTATAGATTTAATAACTGCCTAACGCATTACTTGATGGAAAGACACAGACTCATTAGGTATTCACTTCATTTCTTAAAAAAAACCTGCAATCAAACATAACCTAAGGTCTACTCAGATAACAGAGAGGCCAAAATTCAAAGTATTACCTGAGATAAATTGTGGAAGTTGCACTATAGCACAGATCAGGATGCACAAAACGCGTTGCCATGTTATACAATACAGGAGCAACAAGTGACGTGGGATGACGTCAGCGCCGCGTGACGTCACTGGTGACTCGCGCAGGCAGAGGGCAACAGTAACGATCCGCAACGACAAGGCGAGCAATGTTGCTCTCTGTACCCGACAACATTAATTAACATGTTCATACGTTAAAATATATGTAGCCTACACCCCAATAACACTTGTAGCCGACAACATTAACATGTTCATACGTTAAAATATATGTAGCCGGCAACAAAAACCTTCATACGTTATAACATAGCCAACACCCCAACAATAATAGGTTCATACGTTATACTTATATAACATTTGTACCTGACAACATTAACATGTTCATACGTTATAACATATGTAGTCTACACCAAAACAATAATAGGTTCATACGTTATACTTATATAACATTTGTACCTGACAACATTAACATGTTCATACGTTATAACATATGTAGCCTACACCAAAACAATGATAGGTTCTTACGTTATACTTATATAACATTTGTAGCCGACAACATAAACATGTTCATGCGTTATAACATAATATGTAGCCTACACCCCAACAATAATAGGTTCATACGTTATGCTTGTATAACATTTGTAGCCGACAACATTAACATGTGCCTAAACCCCAACAATAATAGGTTCATACGTTATGCTTGTATAAAATTTGTAGCCGACAACATTAACATGTGCCTACACCCCAACAATAATAGGTTCATACGTTATGCCTATACAACATTTGTGGCCGACAACATTAACATGTTTATACGTTATAAAATATCCACCGGATAACATTAAAACGTTCATAATATGGTATAACATTATACGTTATACTGATATAAGTAACATGTGTAGCAGACAACATTAACATGTTCATACATTAAAACATATGTAGCCACATAACATAGCTATAAGGTTATAACATTTATATGTTATAAAACATGTCCACCAGACAATATTAACACGTGCGTATGTTTATATACTATTTATAGCGATGTTAACATATTCACCCGATAACAGAAACACGCTCAAACGTTATAATATATGTACAACACAACATTAATATGATCATACGTTATACTGACAATATAAACACGTTAATAATATGGGTACAATTAACATACCTATGAATACATCACATTATTAGCTCGTACATACGACTAGTATAACGTTTATTTTATTATTATAATTAACCCAACAACGTTGTAACTCTATCCAAGAACAGCTCAATGATATACAAACCTCCATAGCCGGCAAAAAATAACGTGTGTCAAACATGTTATATTGTATGCTATCTTACCATAGTAACTACAACATTAACCCCTTTATACTCTCTAGGATTATCAATGTAACATCAGTAGCCAACAACTCTCATGCTTATGTTATGTATTGGCCTCTAAGTAGTCATACTTCTAAGTTAATGTCTGTGGAGTTTTCTAGTTGATAAAAGTAATTTATTGAACGCACAATTTGTCTTTGAAAAAATGTCCTCACAGTTTTGTTATTTTATACCTAAACAAAAACAAGATCGAAAGATGCATTCATGTATCTGTAATTGACTAACATGTTTTGAACAAACGCATCACATTAATTGTACATATGCACAGCATTACAATTCTAAATCAAATAAGAGGTACATTTATAAAATAACTATAAAAATCAAAATAATTAGATATACCAGGTTTTATACATTAAAATTTGTGGGATTGTGCCTTAAGTTTATGAATTGGACTAAATTCAGACGGTCTAGGATGTATAGTACCTGTAAATTAGAATCTCATTGATTATTATACACAATGAAGATGTTACACTCAAGCACCTAAAACCTAGTTTCTTTTGTGTCTCAATACCTCATTGTCAAAGTTCTATACAAGTTAACAGATAATTAAGTTTCATACCTGTGAGTGGTGAATAGTTTAAGGTTATGAGTATGTTACTGTCAATGTTTAGAGCCGGCAGGTTGATAATATTAGATATCTGACGATTTACGAAACGTATAATTTATCCAGAGCTATTTTTCAAATTATTATATTATTTCATATTCATTGTGAGGCTGATTTGTACAAGGCATGGAGGAAGATATTCTACTAGTTATCAACACAACGTTTATGTTTCAAGGTCTTCTTTGTTTGTTCCCTTGGCGATGCAGATTGTATGTATGGTAGTTATTGATCTGAGTGGAACATTGCCTTTAAAATATTTAAAGTATTGATTAATTTTTATGGACATTTTACATCTGTTTTATTTTATTACCATAATAGTCGTGGGTTACTATATGATACAAGTAGGCCTAATAAAAATCACATAAAACATGATAAAATTATTTAAATGATATTAATCAAACGAGATATAAATATAGCTTAAGAAAACGTTGTCCACTATTCCATTTAATTGCTTAATTGATTTTCTCGTGAGGTAGTTTTATAGCGTGTTGTATAAGTTAAAAATTTTAATTATTTATTTAATATAATCAAGTTAATTGTTATATGACTCTTTGTGAAGGGACGTTTAAAATACAGAAATAGTTCACTCTCTCCGTTGAAACATAAATATTTTTTATGCCTAATAAGTCATTAAACACCCTAGGTTATGCAATCTAGGCCTAACCTCGTACTTTCTTATATCTTAATGTATTATATCTTATTATATCTTAAATCTTAATGTATTTTCTTATATCTTAAAAATCGTTTTGATAAACTAGTCACAATACATTAGAATTTGTTCTAGAATTAGTGCAACAATTATTTCCAGAAAGAAGGAACTGCATTATTTGACCTAACAACATAACTCACGAACGAACAATAATTTTAAAAGCGCAATTAATGTGCACAATACATATTTTAAACCATATGGTGGTATACAAAGTATCTTTAACTCCAACTTACGACAGCGGAAGATAATTATTATTCTTTACAGTTGCGTCATGCCTAGAGATATGTAAACTTGATAATAAACTACAGTATTTTAAATAACACCACATATTTAAAAGAAAGTGTTAGTGAGTAGGGATGTAATTTGAATCGTAAACTATTTATTATATTTCGCTACAAGTTAATGTTAAATACTTATTGTGTAATTAAACACACCATGGCAAAGAACACATTATTAATTATGTTAGTTATGCTGGTCTTGGTTAGCAAAAATGCAGTTGTTAAACAAAAAACTTTGGTATAAAATGGTTTATGGGTAATCATTATATATTTTAAACTACACTGTGTAGTATTACTTCAAATGAGCTGAACATAGGTACCGACTACTTTAAAATGTAACAAACCCAATACATTCGAACCTCAACCTGTAGTTATAGTATAGTAGTATAGTAAAGTATAGTAGCATTAGTATAGTATAGTATAGTACTGTAGTATCCACACGCATGTATCATCTAAATACAATACATATTTAAAAGTTAACCCACATAATGGGTACATTTTATCCTAATAGTCTACATAACTCACCGTTCACTTAGGTAGATCACACTCATTGCTACAATACTTTAAATGAGAATAAAGTAAACACCTTATCATCATCCATTAATTAGTCTTCATTTTAGAGTGCTGATATGTTTATCTACATCTACACACTCTGAACAATCCGGAATGACGTCTTGTGTGTACGTCAATGGGAATCTTCAAGTCTTAATAGAAGCCTACTTCACTGATAATACTAACATACAAGCCTTAGTCACAAACACACCGTACTATGTTTCACAGATTCACTATAACACTCACACACAAGCGACAGACGCACTACACACACTATTATAATGATTTACCTGGTTGGAAGACGAGGGTTTTGCAGCCAGTCCCTGTACCATCGTGTTCACCTATCTCTCGCAACAGAATCAATGGGTCTGCAAACAAACAGAGATAACGCTAGTTACGTAAACGTTCAAGGTGTCGTGCAAATTGTGGTGTCATAGGGGAAAGTATCTCCCCGTATTGCGAACAGTTGCGAACCAGGTGACGCCTTGGTCAACTTGCAATGTAGATGAGGTCTATCGTGTTTTATGTTTTTAGTAGTGAGTTGGTATAGGTATAGTCTTTGACTATTGATACAACAATGAATACTTCAGTAGGTATCCAATAGTCAGTGGTATAGCTTATAGACCAAAAATTTAGTGTTCTTATCATACACAGCTGTATGATAAAATATTAGTATTTAAACTTGAGTACAACCTCATGGCAGTGAGGTGATAAGAAAAAAAAGTATTCATTACTAGCAGAGTACCCGTCCTTCGTACGGGGTTAGCATAATATATAAGTATAAAATGCTTATTACAGTTATGGAAGAGGAGACGGTTTAAGAAAATTTGGTCTTTTAATTTATAAGGTATCTTATAGTGTAGCACACATCTACCATAGCCCTAATGTTCTATCACTGCACCTAAACCATGGAAAAAAGTAAAGTTCTCATTGTGCACCACAACTTTTTGGCCCAACAGACGTTGTCCTGTCCTAATGTGGTTTTATGTCAATGCTCGTTCATTTACAAGATGAGCTCGTTCGCATCGTTCAATCACGTCCTGGTTTAAGTTCGTTTGTTACGCTTCACATTTAGGTTGGAGCTCGTTCGCTGCGCTCACTGGCCTTCAGGTTTAGCTCGTTCGCTACGCTAACTCGCCTCCAGGTTGAAGTTCGTTCGCTACGCTCACTCACCTTTTGGTTGCAAATTAGCTGTAGTCATAAATTAAAAAAAATAATAGTGCTACACCCTGTTGGTAAACCTATTAACTTTTTAATGCTATTGAACATCACAGAATCAAATTGTTTAGTTGAACCAACTGTTAAGATTCTTTTCCATTTAAATATAAGTAGTAATAAGGTTAACATGGGGAACTACAGAAAAGAGCCACTTGGGTAAAGCCCGAAAGGATTTTTGAGATGAGAATATGCCTAAATGTTAATCGGGAATGTAAGCTATCATCATGCCAAATTTCAGCCTAATCCGTGCCGTAGTTTATGCGTGATTGAGCAACACACAAATGCACAAACTCACAAACTTTCAGATTTATAATATTAGTAAGAAGGTCTATGGGACTATTTTCAAAATGGAAGTATACTCAACTATCAGATTAGTTGACAAAAAGAACGTAATTTCTTCTTATCTATTAAATAAAAAGATTGTTTTGCCAAATTTACCATAGTATATATTATAAAATATTGACATTACCGTGCAACGAGCTGAGAATAGACCTGCAGCTAAACTTAAAATAACACATTGGAGTGTAGAAATGTCTAAAACACATCATAAATACAATAATACAATCCAATCAACCATTAATAGTCCAGTCGATATAATGAAAAATAGTGGGGGTAGCTGGAAAGTATTCAGAAATTGATGAAGTTTTTGACCTCTCCTTAAGTTAGCACAGGGTGCTAGAGGTTGAAAACTCAGTATATATATCCTAGAGTACCCCCAGTTAAGATGTAAAAATTCCACCAAGTTCTGAATACTTTCCAGGTAAAAAGTGTATATCTACTGGACTATAAGTACAGCTGTAGTAATGCCGTATCCATACGGTGTCTGGACAGTTGCGGACACGGACATTTGGGGACACGTCTTAAAAGCGGACAATTGCGGACACTAGGGATTAATGCTACATGACACGGATTTGACAGGTCTCTAAAAATATTTCACTGCCGGGCAACTGCGGACACATGTTCTGGAAAGAGTCTGATTTCCACCTAAAGAACAGATACATACATGATATATGATTTTAAGACTGATTTCCATCACACTTTACACACTAACCTTAGGTTAGGTTTGTAGACCTGTCAAACCCTTGTCAGGTAGCATTAATCCCTAGTGTCCGCAATTGTCCACTTTTAAGACGTGTCCTCAATTGTCCGTGTCCGCAACTGTCCGGTATTCATCCATACAGTACAGTATATTTTTCTGAATGAGATAGGCTAGTTATCAATATAATAATCGATATACTGGGTGCCCAACACATCTTGTGCATGCGGGGAAACTGGCGTTTAGATTAGAAGGATATCGAAATTCCATAAATGAGCCAATACTTTTGCACGCATGTGAGTTACATATTTTCAGATTGTGATGCGCTCAGGCTGTACTAGCGGCGCGTGACGCTAGGCGGCTGCAGGTGCGGGTAGCAGGTAGCAGGTACCAGGGGTTGGTCTCCGGGGTAGATTATCTCCCGTGTTTGTGTTCGATACACGCGTGATAACCGTGTTTGTGTCTCATGATAACATCACAAGCCTGCCTTTGACGACATCATCTGCTCTCACCTTGCATGGTACAACTAAACTATATAACGTTAACAAGTTGAAACTGGTGTCACACCGAGTCATATACACATGGATGTGTGCTGGCACGAGCAATACAGTAAACAACTAGCAAACTGAGTGAAAAGGTCCCTAATGAATGGAAGAGGTTAATAAGATAGAAAACTTGACTAGATTCCACAAAGATTCAGTTTTACCTAGACACTCCATCCCCATGTTAAATTTGTAGCCAGATTTGTTATCAAAATCGTCGTAGTTGATGTGAGCCACCTACAGATTGCGCTGATCTAAATTACTAAATTCTGCCAAATACACAATTTTTTAACAAGTCAAACATAGGGAATGACTTATGGTGAGTTATAGCAGCTAACTGTTATGACCTCTCAACCTGGTCAGCAACAAAAGATAAGGTATAGAATTTTAGACACTAGCACATTCTGTGACTGGCTCACACAACTACGTTTTTTCAAATAAAAAATTGCTACAGCTGGTTCATATAGATGGGAAGTCTAATGGTTTTACCTTATCTATACTTATAAAAGGCAAAGCCCTCACTGACTCACTGACTCACTGACACACTCACTCACTCATCACTAATTCTCCCACTTCCCATTTACCTAGGAGGCTGAAATTTGGTACATTGATTCTTTAGGCATTAAATAGGAAAACTAAGGTGTTTTTATTCTGATCGGACTCTCGGACTCCGCCCCAGTGGCTCTGGAGTTTCCCATGTTAGCCTTATGATTTTTCATATTTAAAAGGAATTAATGAATCTTAACAGCTGTTTCAATTAAACAAGTTGGTTCTGTTCTATGATGTTCAATAGCATTAAAGTTACAAGGATTACCAACAGGGTGCAGCACTATTATTTATTTTAATTTATGACAACAGCTAATTTGCAACCAAAAGGTGAGTGAGCGCAGCGAACGAACTTCAACCTGGAGGCGAGTTAGCGTAGCGAACGAGCTAACCTGAAGGCAAGTGAGCGCAGCGAACGAGCTCCTACCTAAAGGTGAGTGAGCGTAGCGAACGAACTTCAACCAGGACGTGATTGAGCCATGCGAAGGAGATCATCTTGAAAATTAAGAAGTTAAACGGGGCAAAGCCCGCGGGTACAGCTAGTACAGTATATAACTATCGCAAACTTCTGAGGTTTGAAGGAAAACTTGGATAGCTAAAGTTCCTATAAAAGTGAAGATATAATTAATGTAAAAGCTCTTCCTTTGCAATGGCAATGATGAAAAGGCAAGGTAAATAGTTAGAAAGGTTAAACAAAATGTAGTCAAAAAACCAAACTGTATTTTAAATTGATACAGTATAATATTGAGCTACACGAGTCACTGACGTAGTGATGGTGCAACATTAGCTGTAAAATACAAGTGGAATGCGACATGTTTATATGTCCCCGACGTGAAACTCACTCCTCTGACGTCAATGAAAGCTACAAGATGTCCCTGCTACTCCTTGAATATCAAGTGCGAAACGCGAAGTGATTGGTGTTCAGTAGATTGCATTAGCTCAATAGTTAAATAGATGCGTGGATATAGAGGATATATTAAGCAAATAAACATACCAGTGTACAAAACTACAGTCCGCCACAATTAATTTGTGCCCTACTTTCGCCTCAAAAAATTTTTTTTATGTATAGCTGCAACATAATTTACACACTTGTATAGCACAGCACCACTACACATTTCAACGTGCAATTCAAAGGCACAGACAGTGAAGAAATCAATCGCGCTATCAATCAATGGGATCTTGTGTTATAGAATGGTTAATAGCCATGTACAGTATAACCAAATGCAATTTACTTATCTCTATTAAAAATTTGATTGCTTAAAAAAATAGATTAAAACAGTGCATATATTTATTTGAGGAAACATATTTAACTAAATTATATTATTTTTTAGTGAACTATAAATTACAGTAAATGAAATGCTAAGATAATGAATGTGAACAGAATTATTAAATGATGCCAATATACCAAGATTTGTAAAATAGTTCCTGGATTGAACCTAGGCTAGTATGAAACTTGCCAAGCTCCTGCTGCTTTTCAACGGTTTGACCTTCCTACCTTAACAAAATTAATATCTTTAGCAAAACGACCGGTCTCGAGTCAAATACCGTTACACAGAAAAATTGTAAGTTCTCAGAAACGATCGCTAAATATAATATACGATATTATTGATTATTTAGTTAGGAAGTTTTTAGTTTAGTGAATATTCAAAAATATTCACCTAACATTGAAGATACCGGTACCGTTAAGGTATCTTAAATTCAGACTATTTACTTGGACAAGACCTACATACACAGTACTGTATATAACGCGTATAGTTGAACGTCGATAAATGTCCCTCGTGAAGATTATTAAATTAATAAGACTTGTTATCGAGGTTTGCAATAACATGTGATTAGATGTAATATTAAATCAAATGAAGGATATTTGAAAATGGCAATTGTAATCAAATGTGACTTGTTATCGAGGATATTATCAAGGTTTCTGTTTCACTGCTGTATTTGTGATTTCAAAAGATATACATTGTGTAAATTAAGTATTAAAACAAATTTGTATTTTTTAAACCGAAATAGATAGAAATATTCTGTTTTGGCATTGATTTTTAACAAGGGATCCACAATTTTCCCCAACAGGGTAGGGAGTAGGGGATGATTTTTTTTTCCAAATGGCTTCGAAGGGTTAGTCAAAAGAAACATAATGGGGCAAATCCGTGGTGGATACCTCACCCCTAGCCAAAATGGCAGGTATTCCAAAGTTTGATTTATACGAAAAAGTACCAATTCCATAAATATGGAAACACATCTGTATTTTTTTTTTCTCTCCAATATAGATAGAATTATTCGGTTTTTGTCATTAATTGTTAACAAAGGTTCCTTAATTTTTTACATCAAACATATTGTTCAACCCTCTAACAGGGTAGGGGGTCGGTGTGACTTATAAAAAAAAACCCAATTGAGTGACCCCTCATTATAAAGGGGTTGTCAAGAGATAAGCAATGGTGCAAACCCGTAGTCGATATGCCATCCCTAGCAAAAACGGCAGGTATTTAAACATTTGATTGGGTGAAATGGGTGCTTTTTCACCCAATCAATTTTTTAATACCTGCCATTTTGGCTGGGGTGACAAATCGACTTCAGGTTTGCACCATTGCTTATGCCTTGACAAACCCTTCAAAATAAGGGATCACTCAATGGGGGTTGTTATTTGAAAAAATAAGTCATCCTCTACCCCCTACCCTGTTAGGGAAGCTACAAAATATTGTAAATGTAAAAAATTGCGGATCCTTTGTTAATAATTAATGCCACAAATAGATTATTTCTATCTTTTTCGATTTTAAAAATACTAATTTGTTTAAATACTTAATTTACATAATGTACATACAGTTTACAGACCGCATATAAATAAAGGGTTTAATAGAAATGCTAAAATGCTAATAGAACCAATCAAAAAGATAAATTGTAACCACCCCCTACGAACATACAACGTTATTACCCCTAAACAGTCTTTATAGATCCATCGTGAAGATTTTTAGAAAAAAAAAATACTATACCCCCTTAAGGCTATATATTAGATTATCTTTTCAATGAAAATAAACATAGGGAAGCAAAACAAACCAATTAATCAGCATTGCATAGTATAATTTTGCCTTGTTTTACAAAGTTATATTGGATGACTATATAGTCAATGCTAAAACCAAAACTATAAACTACCTAATTAAAAGGTGTCTTAAGAATTCAGACTGAACAGTTTGACCGTGACACAAATACTAGATATCCATGTAAATTTAAATCTCCTTTCCATTCAGCACGACAGTGTAATAAAAGGACGGAAAGTTAAAAAAAAACCGTCGACAGTGAGTTTGGCTGCGTGTTGTAGTGCAAGTGTTGGTGAGGGGTGGGGGAGGGTGGCTGGTGGATCATCAGCGCATGCGCAACAACCCTCTGTCAGCCAATCGGCGAGGAGCGCGCCACAGCCGAGCCACAGCCACAGTCAGTTCGTCGCCAGCCGTGTAAAGTATAGTGTGTGTCCGTACGTGCTAGTGCCTTCTGGATTATTGTCAACAGTATCTACAGGTAAACAAAAAAATCATGTATATACAGTATTACATACTTCCTAAATAAACTATTTGTAATTGTTGCCATTTTGATTTAAGGTATTTAAAAAGTAGCTACACAAATTCAAAATTCTACCAAGCTAAACTTTGAAATATATTTTTTTTTATAATAATATTTGCGCATTAGTTACGAATGTGACCTTTTTTACTGTAATATTTAGGCATTTATAAACCTTTAGGCTCTGTAACAATAACAAATACAGTTTTCTAAATGTATTCCTTTATAGAATATAATCAACAAATACAGTTTTCGAGTTTTCTAAATGTATTTGTTTATAGAATATAATCATCCTCGCACATTTGTGGGAATTTTTTACCAATGAAGGATTTATAATATTACCGGTAATTTAAGTATGGTATACTCAAAGTGACTTTCTTTAGTTCATTTTTTATTTTGGTTGTCATCCCAAAATGATCACTTTTTAAATGAGTAAAACTATCTGTTTGAAAACTATTTGTCGTCTTTTGTTATAATAACCTAATCGTTAAGTACACGTTTAAAATGTATCCTGAAATGGGATAACGTAAGCGTACCATAGACAAAAAATTTGCCCAATCTTTTACAATTGAACAATAGTATGACCTTTCCACTTGCACGATCCAAAGTATTTTGACCAACAATGGCAACAATAAGTACTGTACATTGTATTAAATTTATCCTGGTGTCTTTTTGTGCCAGCAGTGCGTTTTATGTCATTTTGCAGCAATAAAATATGTTATCAGTAATAGCCAGTGGAAACGCATTTATATCGGCAACAATTTGTGTTGATTCGTTACGGCACTGATAAGAACAAAATGGTTTCCCCGAAATCACCACACTGTCTGCACCAAATGGTTTGACATTTCCCACGTCTTGCAATTCCAAGTATTATATTTTGAGTTTGCGTTCGAGTGTAAGGTTATTTTTGCTTGACGAGCGGCGTGTGTCTATTAATACTCGAGTGGCGGGTCATCATACGCTACCATTAATGAAAACACTGTTTATTTATCCACGGTGTGCTATAAACTGAACAATAAATTGATAAGAATCGTTTTCTTCCTATAGTAATAAATAAACATTTAGCTATCTCAGGGATAGGATCAGTTAGCAGCTGCAACGATTGGTTTATTTGTAACCTTACTATACAGAGCAACTTTCTGTCAATACTACTCGTTATGCTTGTTGTTCAAATTATATTTTGGTACTCCTATCTAACTTTACATAATTATACTCCCATTTCATGTAACCAGAACCACAAATTGGTAAAATTTATTTGGGTGGCTAGTGTTTTTTATCATATTCATTAATTATAGTATTATAAACCATTGTGTTATACGGTACTGTTCAGTGGTACTACTTTTCTTGTCAGTTAATTGATCTACTACTTATTTAATACGCAAGCAGATTTTTTGTAACAATTACTCGAAACTACCGAACCGATTAACATGTTATTGGTGTCATTGGAATGAGTGTAACGTAACGTTAAGTTGTGCAGGAAACTTTCTTTTTAGGGTAATAACTAGTGTACCTGTTGCTCGAATTCGAGCAATTGCAAAGCATTACAGGCGTTATTTTAAAACGAATGACGGTCATGATTTCCGATGATTTTATAAAATTCGACTCAAAGATTGTGGAAATACTCACGATGTACACAACAGTTAGATATACTGTAATCAAAATTGTTGCTAATTTAAAAGTTTTGCTACAAACCTAACCTATACAGTTTGCTAAAAGGTCAGTAAATACTGACTAGGTTGAAATGAAATATTTACTATTTGAATTTGGGTTGGCGTAAATATTACAATGGAAAAACATGAGATCCTGGATTTAATGTGAAATACTAAAAAGAAAACCGAATTAACACTGTGCTGCATTTCTTATAATCATTGAAAGAGCCGAATTGCAAACTATGGAAGTTGTACAGTACCACCAAGGAGAAGAAATAGAAATAATGATTTTTTTCATTTAGGCCTATACTCGTTATTATGGACAACCTAATGCGGCTATGAGTAAGGCTATTTGTAGAAAACACTTAAAACAAGATCAGTTTTTGAAAAATGATAAGGTATTTACAAGAAATGTTGATTATATCGATCTGTTATGTACATCTTGATTATTTCCATAATCTTTGAGTCGAATCTTTTAAAGGTATCATAAATTATGACTGTTATTCGTTTTAAAATAACTACAGTACTCAGTATAACTGATACAATATATCAGACTACGCAGTGCTAGGTAGGGAGCGTTATCACCACATTAGACGGCTCGTGGCGACTAATTGAAGTGATAACCTCCGACCTCGCTACAGCTACTGCGCTCCTCTCATCCTTATATAAATATACAGTACTCAGTATAACTGATCACTGATACAATATATCAGACTACGCAGTGCTAGGTAGGGAGCGTTATCACCACATTAGACGGCTCGTGGCGACTAATTGAAGTGATAACCTCCGACCTCGCTACAGCTACTGCGCTCCTCTCATCCTTATATAAATATACAGTACTCAGTATAACTGATCACTGATACAATATATCAGACTACGCAGTGCTAGGTAGGGAGCGTTATCACCACATTAGACGGCTCGTGGCGACTAATTGAAGTGATAACCTCCGACCTCGCTACAGCTACTGAGCTCCTCTCATCCTTATATAAATATACAGTACTCAGTATAACTGATCACTGATACAATATATCAGACTACGCAGTGCTAGGTAGGGAGCGTTATCACCACATTAGACGGCTCGTGGCGACTAATTGAAGTGATAACCTCCGACCTCGCTACAGCTACTGAGCTCCTCTCATCCTTATATAAATATACAGTACTCAGTATAACTGATACAATATATCAGACTACGCAGTGCTAGGTAGGGAGCGTTATCACCACATTAGACGGCTCGTGGCGACTAATTGAAGTGATAACCTCCGACCTCGCTACAGCTACTGCGCTCCTCTCATCCTTATATAAATATACAGTACTCAGTATAACTGATACAATATATCAGACTACGCAGTGCTAGGTAGGGAGCGTTATCACCACATTAGACGGCTCGTGGCGACTAATTGAAGTGATAACCTCCGACCTCGCTACAGCTACTGCGCTCCTCTCATCCTTATATAAATATACAGTACTCAGTATAACTGATCACTGATACAATATATCAGACTACGCAGTGCTAGGTAGGGAGCGTTATCACCACATTAGACGGCTCGTGGCGACTAATTGAAGTGATAACCTCCGACCTCGCTACAGTTACTGCGCTCCTCTCATCCTTATATAAATATACAGTACTCAGTATAACTGATCACTGATACAATAGATCAGACTACGCAGTGCTAGGTAGGGAGCGTTATCACCACATTAGACGGCTCGTGGCGACTAATTGAAGTGATAACCTCCGACCTCGCTACAGCTACTGCGCTCCTCTCATCCTTATATAAATATACAGTACTCAGTATAACTGATCACTGATACAATATATCAGACTACGCAGTGCTAGGTAGGGAGCGTTATCACCACATTAGACGGCTCGTGGCGACTAATTGAAGTGATAACCTCCGACCTCGCTACAGCTACTGCGCTCCTCTCATCCTTATATAAATATACAGTACTCAGTATAACTGATACAATATATCAGACTACGCAGTGCTAGGTAGGGAGCGTTATCACCACATTAGACGGCTCGTGGCGACTAATTGAAGTGATAACCTCCGACCTCGCTACAGCTACTGCGCTCCTCTCATCCTTATATAAATATACAGTACTCAGTATAACTGATACAATATATCAGACTACGCAGTGCTAGGTAGGGAGCGTTATCACCACATTAGACGGCTCGTGGCGACTAATTGAAGTGATAACCTCCGACCTCGCTACAGCTACTGCGCTCCTCTCATCCTTATATAAATATACAGTACTCAGTATAACTGATCACTGATACAATATATCAGACTACGCAGTGCTAGGTAGGGAGCGTTATCACCACATTAGACGGCTCGTGGCGACTAATTGAAGTGATAACCTCCGACCTCGCCTCGCTTCGCTACAGATTCTGGTTCCCCTTTCTTTGTATAGTGTCTATTTTAATCTTAGGATTTAAAGTCTATTTAATATTCCGCCTGTGCTATTTGTTAATCGAGTTATTAATTTTTTATAATTTGTTAATCGAGTTGTTAATAATTTTATAGCCAACGGTTAGGAGGCAGGCGTAAAAGCGTTTTGTAAACCATGCAAGTGGTGTTTAAATAATGCAGCTTTTGCGTGTTATATCTATATACGGTTGTCAAGGCTGACTTGTAATATTTGAAAAAGTCCTATTAATTCAAAAATCGGCCTCTAGTTAGTATAATTCCTGAGATTTATTCGTAGTTTCATTGTGCTCTGTACTCCTCGCCAACCTCTGGGTGTTGCGAAGCTCAGCACCCTCCCTAGCCCCAGTAGACCCCGTTGTCTAATGAGCAAAGCTAAGGTTTCTCTGAGATTGCCGATAGTTAGCCGATATTCCCACAGCATGGGTCACCCGAGACTTGTGCAGTTTTTGCTGCGCTCCTGACAATACTGCGCCTAGCCCGCCCCGCCCTGCGCCTTGCCTGTGTCTCACGCTTTGCGCAGCTTATAATCTCCATTCAGCCGAGTCATCGATTCCCGCCTCCAAGATTATCTTGTTTCCGTCATCATTGGTGCTTTTGTCAAGCGTTTTGCTTGTGATGTTGAAAACGGGGCTCATCTGCGATATTTCCTGCTTTGACGTTTCAAAAGTAGATTGCAATCTACACTCGAAAAAAAGTGATCGATCGAAAGCGAACCTGTCTTACGGTAATCTCGTACATTTTGCTTATACGGAGTTACCAGCACAAGACAATTCTGACAGTAGGGGAGTGCCTGTGTTTGGATATAACCCAGACCCCGCTGTCGCACTGGTCTGGTCTTCACACCCATCACATCTGCCTAGTCGGTAGAAGTAAATTATTGTGGAGA